CACTTCCCTGTAGTGGGTACCCTACTGACCTACGCCCTAGCACTAAGGATGAGCACTTCCCTGTAGTGGGTACCCTACTGACCTACGCCCTAGCAGTAAGGATGAGCACTTCCCTGTAGTGGGTACCCTACCGAGTTCAAAAGTTTCCATTCCTTCTCTGGAGTTGCCAGTGTTCACACAGTTCTCATAAAGACTTTGGAGTGCAAAGGAGTGGGCTGCATTCTTTGTTACCTTCCCCCAATGGAAAGCTCAGTACAAGTAGGAGGCATTTCACCTAATGTCATGTCTCAACATGGTCATGAGACTGAGGAGTAAAGTTTAACATTTGTTTTATACATTAGAGCAGAACCTCTTCGAAAGAAGAAGAAAGTAGATCCTAAAAGAGACCAAGCAGCAAAGGACCGTTTGAAGAAGAGGATCCGACGACTGGAAAAAGCTAGCCAAGAACTAATTCCCATAGAAGATTTTATTACCCCGGTGAAGTTCTTAGATAAAGCGAGGTACGGATTCTCGTCTGGGGTTGAGGTCCTCGCAGCAAAGGTGTTCTGTCGACTCCTAGGAGAGTTTTAGCTGCAGTCCAAGCCTGTGCTGATTGGAAAGCATCTATAGGCTGGGGCTGACTTGGCCCTGATCTGAATGTTTTTCTCCTTGGTTGTGCTTTTTTGTAAATTGGAAAAGTATTCCTAGGTCGTGATGCTCTTGAATGGCTGAAAGTGGGAAAGAAAGAAATCCAGAAAACCGTGATAGTGAGGAGTCCGGGTCGGGTGACCAGAGCGAGTCCGTGCCAGTGCTGCTCCAGAGGGCATGCCACTCTTGCACGAGGCGTCCTGGCTGTGGCTGACTCAGGCAGTACTGCCGCCTTGGGGCCGCAGGCTTTGCCTCTGGATGGTAGAGAACCTTTAGCCTCTTGCCTTAAGATCAAATGCTCATAGATGGTGTCTGTTGGGATTGAGTTGTGGGCAGGGTTAGCAGCTCTTGGATCCTTTACTTGCTGCCTTCTTGTAAGCAGAGTGTACCATTTATAGAGTAGCACCTTGCCATGCCAGTGGGAAATGTCAGGTGCTTTTTTAAGATACTCCAGGGTTAATGTTTTGGTTAGTTTGTGCCACTCAAACAGAAAACACCACGAAAGGGGTGACTTTAACAAATAGGAGTTTATTCTCTTACGGTTTGAGAGTTCAAAGTGCAGGGCTCTAGGGGCTGGATGAAAGCCCCTTGACCTTGAGCTGCAGCTCTGCCTCTTGCTCCTGGCCCAGTGAAGCTGAAGGCTTTCTTCACTCAGGTAGCTGCTGGCTGAGCCTGACAAACCTACAGTTGACAAGTCAAAAGGCACAGTCCCAGTATTACCAAACCACATGGCAGGCCATTGATTCAAGTCCATTAAGAGTCCCAAGACTGGCAGATAACCTCTAAGGCTGCTAGGTAACGACTTGGCTGCATGCAGGGTCTGACTGTGCCAAAAGCTGCAGACCATTCCTCAAGCAGCTTTTCATACACTGGGAGCAGACCACATCCCTAAGGCAGCTAGCTACTCAGCTGCTCACAGGAGACTGCATCACGGAGTTGATTACCAGTCTTACCATGGGGGAATAACTACATCCAACTGCCTAGCTACTAGGCCCAGCCAAGTTGACGCGTACCTTTACCACACTTATGAAAGGCTCTTGACTCCTGGGATTTTGGTGTCCATCTTCATAATAGCATTTCACTCTTCTCCAGTCACCTCTTACCAAAGGCAGTCTTTGCCACTTCCTTTAGAAGAAGTGATGCCGTCAGCTCCACCATCTCATGGCATCATTGTTTCTTATTTCTACGTAAGGGAAATGACAGTGGTTCCAGGTGTCAGTTTCAGATGCTGCCACATTCCACATTCCCTTAATTTGCCCCCGATTTCTCCTCTTTCCTCCTAAGTCCCATTTGTCTGCAGCAGTAGGAATGCCGGGGTCACACGCACAGTCACACCGACTCCCTTGGTGGCAGGGTCTGTGCCCCCCAGCGTCACACCTGTGAACGCGTTTGTGTGTTCCCAGACAGCGGCCTCAGGTCGAGCTCCCCTTTGAGGAGACTGAGAGGAGAGCGCTGCTTCTGAAGAAGTGGTCCCTGTACAAGCAGCAAGAGCAGGAGATGGAGAGGGCCGCCGTCAAGTCGTTGCTGGAAGCCCAGCAGGAGGCACTGCAGGAGCTGTGCCTCGCCTCCCCAGAGCTCCACGCAGAGGCCATCAAGCGGGACCCCAGACTGCTCCCTTTTGAAAGCGAAGGGCCACATCACACACCACCAGTCCCTAACTACCAGCCCCCTGAAGGCAAGTACAACAACATCACCAAGGTGTACACACAGGTACAGTTCAAGAGATAAGTCTTCAGAACCCCCTGGCCTTGAGAGCCCCAATTACCAGGGTTGGGTTTGGTTTTCACAGAGTAAAGCATGCTGTTAATTAATAAAAGTTTATTTCAAAGTGTCTCTTTGTCTTGTATTAGAATCAAAATGAATTCATTCGAGGTAGTTGGGGGTGAGAGATGCTATCCCTTTTTGCCAGGTACTGGGAAGACGACCAAGGCCTCAGCCACTGCTCTCAAGTGGCAGAAGCAAGGGGGTAAAAGGGAAAATTCCAATTGTGTGGTGACCCCCCCCCCCCAAGCAGGAGACTGTTTATAGTTTATACTCTTACATATAGCATATGCACGTGAAGGTGAAGGAGGAATAGGGTTTTGCCTGCTGGCCATGAGTGCACAGAAAAGGCCTTCCCAGTGGGACGGGAGGTAGACGTGGAAGTGTGTCATCAGCAAAGCCACTTTTGGGTTTTAATTTGGGGAGACTGGAGCAAGCCAGGGACATACTAGTTAAGGAAGCAGCTGTCCCCCCCTGGGTGCAAGGCCAAGTGTTATGAGTCTGACAATTGTGAAGGTCTAGTGTGTAAAGGAAGCCATTTTTCCTAATGATTTGCATCCCATCTCATTTCCATAGAAATTTAGATGTATTTTCCTACTGTATGGTTCACTTTTGTTTGAAAAACTTAAAAAAAAAAAAAAAAAGTCACTGCCATTGAGTTGATTCTGACTCATGGCACCCCCATCAGGTTTCTGAGGCTGGAAATCTTCACGGAAGTAGATTACCCCATCCTCCTCCCATGGAGTGGCTGGTGGGTTTGAACTGCTGACCTGCTTAGCAGCCAAATGTCTTACCCATACACCACCAGAGTGCCTTAAAAACTTACCAGTCCTGAATAGTAACTCCTCTCCCTAAGGATCCTAAGTCCTTTGGTTCTCCACCTAAGACAGACCCTGAATGCAGCCACTTCCCACCACCTCCACTGCAGCCCCAAGGCCCAAGCACGATCACTTTTGGCCTCTTCCGTAGTTAGTCTTCCAAGAGCTCTGTCCCTCCCCCAGGCATTCTCTGCACTAGCCAGAGACCTGTAGACCCTAAGCTGTCTGGAGAACTGAGTCCATATACCTGATCCCAGTTTCCGAAGGCAGCGCACCCTTACTCCTACCCCATGGCTGCGTGGCCCTTTTCTCTGCCTTGCCTCCTTGTTCAGACCTCAGCCTCTGTGACCTCCCTGCCTAAGGTATTACCTGCTGTAGGCCCTTGACATTAGTGCTTTTGATCCATTAGCTTGTATAATCAATTTAGTGGGTCATCCCCTGCAGTTACTATTTTTTAACTTTTTATTTTTTAGAAGTTCACAGGAGATCACAATGAAAAGTAGAGAGGTCTTGTGCACCATTCCCCCAACCTCCCCCAATGCTGACACCTTACACAGTACAGTATCCAAACCAAACCCACTGCCATTGAGTGGATTCTGACTCAGAGCAACCCCACTGGGTTTCCAAGACGGTAAATCTTCACGGAACTAGACTGCCCCGTCTTCCTTTTGTGGAGTGGCTGGGGGTTTGAACCACCAACTTTCTGGTTAACCGTCAGATGCTTTAGGCACTGTGCTACCAGAGTTCCCAGAAATAGGCGTCGGTACAGTCAAGAGTATCCAGATACCTCGAGTTTTATCTGCACGCACTTATTTGTGTGCATATGGTAGTCTTATGTTACCACCACCAGCACAATAAAACTTTCATCACCATAGACCTCCTCCCCCATCCCTACCCCTGGCAGCCATTCAGCC